GGGGGGGGGGGGGGGGGGGGGGGGAAGATGTCGTAAACTTGCAGTAAACAAAGATAAGTGAATTTCAAAATGACTGGAGCATTATCAACAGCTTTTCTTGCATTTTGATTGGCTACTTAAAAAAAGTCCATAAAATATCATTTGTTAAAAAGTTGACAGTTTGACAGCTGAAAGTTTAACTCGAAAGCTTGCATAAATTAAAATTTTATCCGTCTGTACTCTTATTGATGATAAAAATGAGCCAATCAGCGCGCGGGAAATTAAACAGTTCAGTATAAAATTTGATCTTGCACGTGCGTCTAAGTTCGTTGATTGCGTTCTTTGCCATTCTCGTCCCCAGTGCTGCTCGTCTTAAAATGTCGTTGACGAGTAGCAGACCACGTGACCAAAAGAAGCGGAGGCTTAGGGTATGAGAATGCGTTGATTGCCTGAATGCGTAGAGAGAACAACCGTTGTAATCAATGCTGACTCTGATGTTCCAATTTTTTATGCTCACCAAATTAAAAGGATGGGGTTTTTGGCCTGTTGCTCAGTTTGTTGCGCAGAGGTCGACTCCATGTTTTACCGACAGAAGAATTTGTCAATTTTACTTTTTTCCCTTGTCCCTTATTAATATAAGTTACCTCATTTTCAAAGTTCCATTTAATAGTAGAAATATCCCTTGCTTCCTCAAATTAATCAGAAAAATATCCCTCGTTCCCTTGAAATAAATGATCATGTTCCCATGTTCCCCAAAACCCCCGGGAGGCCCCCAGAAATTACATTTGTTGTGCATAGTGTTATATCAACATTTAACATAACCCACTGACCAACTAATAGTCTGATGGTCCGACCGCTCTCAGTTTCTCTCAATAGGCCCTTTGCAGCTGGGGTCACGTGACCAAAATTTTCCTAGAAAATTTTTGTATTATGGCCTATAACTTGAAGAATGCTTCAAATGGAAAGAGCGCATCGAAAATACCAAAATGGCCAAGTTTGAGGCCCCTGACATTAAAGAGTAAGTTTATACGACCGTTTGAATTTTCGGAAAATTTAGAGGATTTTTATGGAAAATGTTGCTGGAGAGCAAGACCTTGCTCTCCAACAACTTTTTTCATACAAATCTTCTTATTCTTTTAAAAATTCAGACTGTCATAAAATCTCATTCTTTAATAATTGGGGCCCCAAACTTGGGCATTTTGATATTTTCGACATGCTTTTTTCATTTCTGGCATTCGTTAAGTTATAGCGCATAATTTTTTGAAAAATGGGTCACGTGATGGCTTAGCTGTAAGGGGCCTATTTAAAATTGTTAGTCGGCGCTAGCATTTGTGTCTAGGCCAACAATGTCTTGTATCAGCCAACAGAGACCTCGAGTTCGCCATTCAATTAATAATTAGCATAACCCACGCTCGAGCTTTCGTCTGTTATGGTTGAAGTGTATTCAAAACAAAGCTGGCAATAAATCAGTTTTAACGATACTGATAGAGCTGGTCATGCATGCTTACACGATTGGACTGCTCGCTCTCGGTTCCTATTCGGTCCCTTTGCAGCTTTAGCGACCCATAGAAGCAACGTCTGCGGTGTTTTTACTAGTCACAATCAACATTTATTTATAATTAATAATAAATGTAATTAATTATTATAATAAATTAATTTTGTAAATTTTCTCTAGCGTTTACAAAGAAACCAAGACCAAGATGGAAAATAATCTTGCATTGGCGATCGACATCTCATTAAAGTATGGAGAAGATCTGTTAAAGCGAAAAGAGCGCGATAAGGCGATCGCCCTGTTTAAAGAGTGTCTTCACATATCTCAAAATCTTGGACGGCCACAGCTGATCCGCTCATGTTTCGGTTTTTTAGGCGGAGCACACCTGACGTCACGTGATTACCTAAATGCAATTGCCTGCTACGAGCGCGCATTGAAGGTGACAGTAGAAAATAACCTGGAGGAGTCGGGCGCACTTGTGCTGCTAAAGGCTTTGGCAGATCTTTATCGCGTGATTGGAGATTACGCTAAGGCTGATACCTACATGGCGAATCACTCGGTGCTGGCCAAAAAGCTGGGGAGAGAGTTGACTGAAGCTGAGAGCAAACCGCGGTTAAACTATATAGGAAATTCTGCGGAGGATTGCAGGAATTCCATCGCTAAAGCTGAGCAAATGCTAGAAACTGCCGAAAGAACACAGAATAAGAAGCTAGAAGCCGATGCTTACAACCTGATGGGTTTCTATTATCGCTTGCTCCGAGACTTCCCCAAGTCCATTACCTATTCCCAGAAGTATTTGGAGATGTGTGACAAGGTGGGAGACTTGGACGGGAAAACATGCGCTTATGGCAACTTGGGCTCCTCCTACAGAAACCTCGGCGAAATCAAGAAAGCCATGGAGTACTTTGAGAGGGAACGTGAGATCACTGAAATAACTGGAGACAAACCTAAAGAAGGCCACGCCTTCAACAATCTTGGAGCGTGTTACATGGATGTGGGAGATCATAAAAAAGCTGTGCTTTACTTCAAGCACGCGCTGAATATCGCTCTGGCGGCTGGCATGAAGAAAGAGGCTGGAGGCTCTTATTCAAACTTAAGCTGCGCATACTTTAAGCTAGCAGATCTGACGAAAGCTGTTAGTTACTCACAGAAGCACTTGAAGCTTGCCAAAGAAATGGGAGACCGCCGTGCCCAGGCCACCGCATACTCTGCACTCGGAAATGCGTACCATGCCCTGGGTGATCTTGATGCCGCGAGATCCGCCTTCCAGCAGTGCTTTGACTTGGCCAATGAAATTGGAGACAGAACACTGTTGGCAGTTGTAGAGATCAATCTTGGACTTGTATGCAATTCTCAGAAAGACTACAAGGCTTCATTGATCTACCATCAATCATCTCTTCGCCGTGCCAAAGAAACTGGGAATAAGCTCACCGTTTGTAAGGCGCTCTCAAACAAGGGGCAATGCCTAGTAAAGCTGCGCGATTTCAACGGCGCAATTGCCAGTTTCGAACACTGTATCAAAGAGTGGGAAGACATTAGGTCAAATCTGGGCAACGAAGACAGTCTCAAAATTTCAATCGCAGATCTTCACACGGCTGATTACAAGCATCTGGCCATGACCCAGCTTCTTGCTGGAGGCCAAGTGGAAGCCGCTATGTTGACGGCGGACCGTGGTCGCGCCATGGCTCTTAAAGATCTTCTGTATCACAAGTTTTACGTCAAAGGGGAGTACGCAAAAATCAAGCAACAGAGCACCGAGGCTAGGGGAGTCTCTAACTTCGTCAATAAGTTGCGCGAGGACGCCACGTTAACTACACTGTTCTACTGCGTGATTTACAGGAAAGTCTTCACGTGGGTTCTCAATGGTTCGCACTTAAACGTCGTCGAATGGCCTGATAACGAAGAGGATTACTGGGCGCTAATGACGCTTGTGGAGACCGCACTGGCTGAAATCAGGCAAGAAAACTTTGCACAAGAAGCAGCAGAAGATAGATCGTTGCTGGCCTCTGAGATGGACAGTTTTGAAGACGTCTTTGATATCCATGGATCAAAATCCTCCATCCGGTCAGAGCACGTGACCAGTGCGGAAAATGCTAGTGTCCAGTCTATTCGAGAGGCTCTTCGGCGCGCTTCTTTGAAACCAGTTAACAAAGAGAATCCGGCGTGCTCTTTGCGTAAGCTGTACGATATATTGATCAAGCCAGTGGAGCATCAGATTAAAGGAAACAAGCTGCTGATAATTCCTGAAACGTTCATCTATTCGCTGCCTTTCTCCGCTTTGGTGGACAACAACGGCGTGTTTCTCTCTCAAAAGTACAGCATTCAGATCTGTACCTCGCTAGAAACCTTGGCCATCATCTCTCAGCGTCCCAAGAAGGAGCCTGTGGGTGGTGCTCTCGTGATTGGCAACCCCCTAATTGGGCGTGTCTACAGAGGTGGTGAAGAAATAAGCCCCTTTGATCTCCCAGGAGCACAGAAGGAGGCAGAAAAGGTGGCTTCTTATCTCCACACCACAGCCCTAACACAACGGCAGGCCACAAAGTCGCGTGTTGTTAACCATCTCGTCAAAGCCAGCGTCATCCATATCGCTGCCCATGGGGACCCGGGTCGAGGAGAGATCTTCCTTGCACCCAACCCTGACCTCACTCGGATAAATCGCCTTCCAACCGAGGAAGACTATTTGCTGACATGTGCAGACATCGCCGGACTGCGCCTGCGAGCTAGTCTAGTTGTGCTCAGCTGTTGTCAAAGCGCGCAAGGAGATATCCGCGCCGAAGGAGTCGTTGGTATTGCTCGCTCGTTTCTGGGGGCTGGAGCGAGAGCAGTGGTTGTGACGTTATGGGCTATTGATGACGACTCTACTCTGTCTTTCATGGAGTTCTTTTACAATTATTTGTACCAGAACTTGTCAGTGTGTGAGGCGTTACAACAAAGTATGATCCTTATGCGGGGTAACAAAGAGTTGAAGAGTATCTCTAAGTGGGCGCCATTTTACGTCATTGGGGAAGATATCAAGTTCACAGATGAAGATATAAAGCGAATTAGAGAGAAGGCGTTTAACTTTTGAAGCGACAATAATAAGAACAGATCGTCGTTGCATTGTCTTACTTTGAATGTTTGTGAACATTTTAGAAGTCGAATCACAATTAATTTGACATCAGAAATTCTCCTAGCTCGAATAAACCTAAGCACGATGCGCGCACCACTTCCGGCCGCTGTTGTTTTCGAGGCTAACGGAAGTGGGGCGAAAAACGACGGCTGTTCAATTAGGCTCTGAAATCCAACCTACTTCATTATCTGCTACTTTAAATTAAACAAAAGGGACAAAAAGATTCAAACAACCATACACAGTGTAATTTGTTTAATTCACTTTATAATATTTTACACAAGCCTGTCCCTCATCAGGTAAATGCAATATAGATGCACGGTCCAACATTTCATTCACGTAAAGTTCCGTAGAAGACATTCTTAGCATGCTTGTTGCCTCATTATGTACACAATAAAACCAAGACCAGCTGGAAAGTAACCGATTTCACCATTTTCCAATTGCTTTGTATCTTTCCTTGGTTTATAGCCTGCGAACGCAGACATATCTCCGGCTGTCACTTGGTTCCGCCGAAAAATAACGTCTGCGAACCCGAGCCAGAAAACGATTTCTGTGACGTTGGAATTCTAAGCCAATCACAGTTTAGCTCAAATAACCCCAGAACTASTGCGCGAGGTATTCGCTGTGAGGAGCACTCGAGTTTCAYTTTATCRTGGAATCTGATTGGCCARGGAGAAACAAAAGTCATTACGTCACAGAAATCGTTTCCTGGCTTGGGTTCGCAGACGTTATTTTTCGGCGGAACCAAGTGACAGCCGGAAATACGTCTGCGTTCGCAGGCTACTTGGTTTATTGCCCCCTGGTCAATCAGGATTGCTCTCAACAATCAATCACTAAGAATAGCTGCACATTGGCAAAGACTGATTTTAAAAAATCGATGTAACATTTTCAAGAAACGTCTTTTAACTCGTCTGCTCCTTTTTGCTGAAGTAAATCGTCTCATCAAATTGCTGCACGTCATCAGCGAACATATCTTCAGGGAGGGGGTTGTGTGGATCGGGGAAATAAGTAGGGAAGGGAGGGGGGCGTTCGTGTGGCTTGTCTGAATCTCGGATCGATAGAATACTGCCTTTCTCTCCTGGGCAATTCCCTAGGACATACAGAATATTGTACTTGGTGTTGATGCGGAGAACCTGAAATAAGAAACATAGACATTGTTAGCTAACCAACTAACCAACTAACCAATCAACAAAACAAACAAAAAACAAACAAACAAACAACAAACAAATAAACAACAAACAAACACGCAAAAATTTAAATGAAGGAACATTAGGAAACAAACAGATAAAAGAAACAACAACAACCATAAAATAAGAACTTCGTTCAACGCAATTCAAATACCCTTCTTTTGCTAAAAAAAATAACCCAACACACTTCAACAAAAACAACAACGACAAAAAGATTATTACCTTGACAGCAGTTTTTGTGCAGTTTTTGTTTCCCATGTGACCAGCCATTTTCTTTCCAGGCCAAATCCTTCCTGGATCCTAATTTTGAACAAAATAAATCTCAGCTCGTCTACCAGTAAATAACTTTAGAACTAACTAATGTTGTTAATTTATACCCTTCATCCCTGCCTTGAATTATTAGTTATTTACCATAAACAAACCACATTATGTTTTTTTAAAATGTAGAGATATAACAAAAAATCCTCATCTGTGGGAAAGTTAGTCGGAAATAAAATATATTCTTCTAAAACAACTAGATCATTTGCTTCAACTTCCTATGAGCACAAAGCTGTCATTCCTACAGAAACCTCGGCAATGGAGTTAAATGTTTGTAATCACCTGCCCACCTCCTGTAGCTCCCATTTTCCTGTGAGTTTTTGATTGACCATGTGATGCTGGTTGCCCTTTCATCTTCCATCTTTTCATTACACCTTGAAATCCTCTGTCAATTCTACATTGATACCAGAAACAGTTTGTGTTTACAAAAATATGGTATTTTTCAAAAATAAGCCTTAGATTTCCTCTAGGTTCTGAAGTTTCTGACAACTTTCATCAAAACAATAATAAAAAAATTCTTAATGGTTGTGTACCAGTTACCCAACAGACAAACTTATACACCATACGTGGTCTAAAATTAATGTTCGGTTAGTAATAAACGGCTTTAAAAAATAACTGAATGGTGAACATTTTCAGCTACATGTACATCGTCCCGTATTTTATGCTGTTCGCAAATGATACTTTGATTGTTCTATTTCCTTACCAGAAATCCTGAGCCTTTTCAAGAATCACTTTTGTGCAACACACTAATGAGTTTCAAACAACACAGGGAGACCAACTTACGTTACACCTTGAATCTTGACAAACTGACCAGGATAGAAGTGAGCAGCATAAAGACGTGTTCCTGTCAGAGTAAAAAAGGATAATAACTTACACGATTGTAATTAATGAGTGGAGAAGCTAACCTTTTAGACAGCATTCTTATCTACTATATGCAGATATTTCCAGTCCAACAAACATATCAATTATTACTAAAGAAACAGTTGGGCTGCGTCACGGTCGCCAGGCAAGATAGCTAAGCTATGCAACCATAAACTGCTACTTAGAAGCCCTGGGCTTATATAACTTTGTAAGGGCTTTTAGATGAGCTTATGAATGGTGGGGCTTATATATGAGGGTGCTTATAACTGGAATAAAAAAAATATTTTCACCCAAGCTATAGCTACACATGTTGATCAAAATAGGTTTCCCATTTACTGGTAATTAAGCTTTTAAAAGATAATAAAACAAATTCAAAACAAAGAAGGCTAGAGGAGGGCTCATATCTGGGAAGGGGGGGAGGGCTTATAACCTGATGTATTTTTTGGTTTACAGGTAGATGGACCTAAAACTGGGGAGGGGGGAGGACTTAACTCTATGCAGGAGGGGGGGCTTATACGTGGCAGTTTGCAGTATTTGACAACTTGAAGTTGAGAGGGATAAATTAACCACTGTGGCGAGGTTGTGAACGTGATGTTCTGGGCATTAACCCTTCATCAGAGCAAAGAGCTTTTCTCTTGGGATAAGATCCATCACTGTGCTCTGATGAAGGGCTGACACTAGAAAAATCAACCACATAAACTCTGTATGCTGCTTTATGTGCCTAAATTAACTTCAGTTTAATACATAACTAAGTATTGTCAGTCCAAGATTTTTTTAAAACGTTATAAAGTGATTTAAAATTAAACATTGATACTGTTTTTATACCTGGATGAAGAAGGCCATTTTCAGTTACAGGAAAACTTTTCACTTTTTTCTTTGGATAAGATCCAAACCTTCTAAAGTGTCCGTATTGAGATTTTTTTACCTGCATAGCATGAAAGAAAACATAAAAAAGAGATTAATGGGCCTGTTGCAAATAAAGAACACCAAGAATGAAAAAAGTATTTATTTATTTATTTATTGACACTTTTATTGTGATTCACACTACTTACAAACAATGGTACGACTACTTACGCTATTTACAAAGTATTACTACTAAAGTCCATATGAAGTCCATATGAAGTCATTCAATGCTTCAGCTGTTATTACCTTGTATAGTTGTGTTTCTGCCACACCTCCAACTTGTAGTTCTGTTTTATGGTCCCGGCCACCATGTTCCCTGCTGATCCTGGTTTGAACGACTTGGCAATCCTTGATCTTTGGAGGCAGAGTTTTATCAAACAAAATGTAACTTAAACTCAGCAATATCCTGATCAAGATGTAAGAAGGGAAGGGTCCCATGGATAACATTAACTTAAAAAGTGGAGGTTAGAGGTAATAAAGAAGATTAATTACCTCTAATTTCAGGGGGAAAAGCACACAAGAAATAATAAAGAAACCTAAACGTAAGGGAACTCTAAGTTTAATTGCAAGAATTAAATATGAGCTATTTATAGACTTCGATGTACCATTGCTTGCATCTAAGCGTGGACACATGATGCCAAGACATGCTCTAATTGGGTGTCAAATGTGGCATGATAGGTCATCAAACATTTGAAGTCTAGCAGACTGTAACGCAAACTTTCATGCTCAAAGTTCAGCACACGAAATGGTGAAAGATTGGACATTATTAAAAGACTTCTTCAGAGAAATTGACCCTGACCTGTGTCAATATGCATACACCTTTTGCGAGAGTGGTTTTACTTCTAGTATGACCATGAAATACTGCCTAGAGCAAGACTTTCAGAGTCTTTCAGAGCGCGAAAGTTCGTGTTACGCTCTGCTAAACTTCAAATCTTTGATGACCTATCATGCCACGTTTGACACCCAATTAGAGCATGTTTCGGCATCAGGTGTCCACGCTTAGATGCAAGCGACGGTAATAGGTGATACTTGATTTGAACAAGAAAATATGAGTCAGAAATTAACAGTGAAACCTACATCAAGCAGATGCACATGGGCCCCATTCTAGTCTGTGTTTAGAGATGCCCACGTAACACAAATTTGTTTTAGAGAAAATATAAAAGGAAAAGTTTGGGACTTGCATACTTACTTAGACATAGTGTGATAAAAAATGAGTTGCCTGAAAAAACAAATCTCATGACATTTTGTGGTGCCAATGCAGGTACTTTTTTTCTATGTTGCAAAAATGACAGTGAACAAAAGCTGATGTTGTGACATCTTGTTTATTTTCACAGTTTTTAAAATCAGGAGATATGGAGAATGGCTGCATGATGGAACAGTTGGGTGCGGTGGGTAGGGAATAGAATGAAGAAGAGAGAAGTTGCTATCAAGAACTCTCATCTTTAATCCATGTTATTATATGGCTAACCCCATAGGCGGGCAAGATGAACTGAATTCTATGCTGTGATTGGCTACCCAAGTGGGCAAGATGGCACTATCTTTCCCACTCTGGATTACCTGCTGTGCTCTTTTTCCATATAATAAGTCCTTTATTGACCAAGCATGTCTGGTCAAGATGGCTGGATATTGGCCTGTTTTTTTGTGCGTGTTTATGGACCTCAACTCGATCTCGACCAGCCATCTTGACCTTATTTACGGTCAGTAACCCATATTTATAACCATTATTACCTCAACTAAAGTGACAGGCTTTCTTTTCCCATCCTTCAGCCACAAAGCTGTCATTCCTATCTTGACTCCAATCAACCCAGCACGCTTGGACTCGGGTGTCCATTGTGCTTCATGCGGATTTATCGGCAAAGGAGTCCTGGAACGGATTTCTCTTGATTTTTCTAGTTCTTGTTCGACATAGTCATCTGAAAGAGGCTTTAAAGGTTTCCGAGGGCCGTGTAGTAGTGCAGGTTCGGTTTGATACACTTCCAATAGGGTCCTGGGTGGTAAATCCGTACTAGTTTTTTCCTCATCTGACTGCTCATCAGCACAATAAAATCGTCTCTGTGTCGAAAATATTATTCCACAAGTGTTTGTTTTTAAAGCTGAGGTCCCTGTTCTGTTGAATGGCACATTATTGCTGGAAAAAACCCGTAAAGTCCATCTGAGGCACAACAGACCACGAGAAGCGGCCATGATAGATACCTATCGCCCCAGGCTTTTTCGGTTTGAGGAAATGGGAACTGGTAGGGAGGGGTCGGTAGGGATAAGTAATGCCCGGCCCCGAGGTAATCTAGTTACGGCCAAAAGTCAGTTTGGTCGATTTGCGCTCGGGATCCCAAAATTCTCATTTTAGTTTCAGAAAATTGCATTGCTGTCTTTGAATTTTTTCGGAGTTAGGTATCCGAATTCCAAAAATAAAACAAGCACCACAGATTTTTTTTTACCCTTATATTCGATATTGATTACTTTTTCGAGAGTTGGCGCCAGGGCGTACAAAAGAACGGTTACTAAGCGACCACAGAGATTCACAACAGCCAGAGAAGTCGCCAAAGCCAGCATTCCGTGACTTCGGTGCTATAGTTACTGAATAGAAAAGATAATTCAGCGATTATTTGTGGGCAAAGTGTTGTAACAAAGATGCCCGCTGATACAGATAAGCTTTTCGTTCGATATGGCGAGCTTGCCCGGGCAATCACTGGCTCAGGAGTCGAATATCTCACGGAGCACTGAAGCTGGAATCTCGGTAAATTTGTTGCTGTTCGGTGGAAATTTGGTGGAACAGGCTTTTGAAGCAGCTATGGAAGAAATTCAAGCTAACAATGATAACGAGGTAACTTTGTGGATGCAGATTAGGTTGCTTTTATTTTGAGGTTATTTGTAGTTCAAACTACAGACCAATAGAAGTCAAGTTCCTTTAAATTGTCACACCAACAGAAATCCGAGTGCTTGACAAACAAGTTGTGTTTGCTAAACGGCTAATAAGTTAAATGCTCTTTAGATTTTAGAAATAACTAGAAAGAATAACTCCGTAAATTCTTGACGAGCGAAACATCACAGGGTTGCTTTGGACACCGTTTCAAAATACAAATCGTAGGCAAAACTTAAGCTTACAAGTTAATATCGCTGCGAAACTTCCAAAAAAAACTTCGAAACTCCGGAAAACACACGAACGGTCGGCTCATTCGACGTCGACCTGGAAACCAAACCACAGTCACTGACATTTTTGGTACACTAGTCCTGTCTCTTTGCCTCTCACAAGAAATCAGGGACCTTGCACTTCATGGGGGATTAAGGGGGTGGGTGTTCCAACGACTTATCACACTGTTTGTAGTTTCCACATGTAATTTCTATGTTGTGTATTCTTCATAGAGTGGCATAGTTTCAATACGGTTTATGTCATGTTTTGTGTTCATGTACATGTACACAAAATCACCTTGAGTTTTGATTAAATTAAAGTCAGCCCTCATCCTTTGGGCTGATTAGGTACTCTGAGGTGGAGTGGGGGAGGGGGTGATTGTCTGTCCAAAGATGTAGTTGTAAATTGTATCTACATGTACCTTGGAGAAACGGTTGATGTTTCCATTGTAGTTAACAGGGTTCTCAATTGAACCCATTAACCTGTAACTCCTGTCACAGGCGTTACACTAGACTAGTATATACTACGGTTGTAAATTAAAGTGCTTTGATCAGGTGATCAATTACCGGTAATCCATTAAATTCAAACAAAACAATGACTTTTGGAGCAAGTAATTGAGTAAAGTATTTACTATTAGTTGCTTTTGCAATGCACCTTTCTTCTGTTTTAGTTGTCAAGTAGTCTGTCCATAGGCCAGGACGACCAAACAATCACTTAGTTTGATGGGTTTTGCACACAAGGTTGAAATATATTTCTCAAACTCATTAATAATTCATCAAGTTTAAACAAAGGAGATCATCATGACCCTGACAGCATTTGGATATCTGATCTTAACAAGGATAGATTTTTACGATTTTATTTCTCAATTTTCTCCTTTGTTTTAGTTTCGATTGAGAAGATATATCGAACACTCAAGACAGTGTTTTTGACCACATTTTCAAACACCTCGAACTTCATCAAAAATACCGTGCTGCACGTTGTATTTTCAACTCTCTTCTTGGTGTTTGGAAATATGGTCAAACACGGTCTTCTGTGTTTGATATATTATGTATGTCTGTTTCTTAGGCCTATTTTGAGAACCCTGTATTATTTAATGTTGTATGCAGTGCTGATCTGATGCTTCTGTGCCTAAACTGTACCCCATAATTATGATTTGATCATCAAATCATGAATGAATGACCAATTTTTGTATTATCTTGTTTCTTATCAGGTTGTAGGGAAAGACAAACAACAAGGAGATGAGGAAGAAAATAAATCAGCAAATGAGCCTGCTGGATCATCCACAGACAACTCTAATGCGACACAGACAAAAGAACAAGACGAGGTAGAGGGCAGTGATGGGTTTGATCAAGTTGATGCTGCGGCTATGATAAGCCAGCCACGCCCATTGCACATCACACAGTTATGGGATAGTCACGAAAGTCAGCCTGCTGTTAAAGAACAGAAAGGAACAAATTCTGAAGTTCCTAAAAGAGAAGTTACAAGTACACAAAGCAACTCTAGTTCTGAGGAAGATTCTGCCGCTGAGAAAGAAGGAAAGAAAAAGAAGTTGAGAAAGAAGAAACAAGCAGGAAAGGGAGAGCAAGATGACGAAGAGAAAGATGAACTGAAAGATAAAGTGAATAAGCTAACAAGGGAGAATGAATCTATGAAAAATACTATTGACAATCTGAAAAGAGAGAAATTCTCTTTAGAGGAAAATCTTGAAGAGGAAAGGAATAAAATAGAGGTAAGAGCTGGTACATTATATTTTCGTGCCCAGTAAGGTCTGAACTACTAAGCTGTCTTGGACTCTTAATTAAGGGAAATTAAAAATTGTTTGAGATCAATTGGGGATTTGAGATAGTCAATGCAAAATGACCAAAACAAAAAAAACACCAAGGAAAAATGAATTGAGCTCAAGTTGAAGATAGAATGAAATTCAAGATATTACACCAGGTGGAAGATAGCAATGCTGAATTGAACCAGAACAGGCATCAGACTTTCTCCATGGGTTTGGGGTGTATCCCTAAAGTGGATCATTTGTAGAAATTTTCTGGTGAAGAACCCTTCTAAGATTTCTGCAGATGGGATTTTTTTAGTGTTGGTGAAAGCACACTGTAGGTTAATCTAAAGGGTGCATCATTTTCTATGAAAGGTATCTTAAAAGGTTTATAGGGTAAGTAATTTATTGTCCAAGTAGCTTGCTGACTTGGAGTGTGTTTGTCTTGACTAGAATTTATTAATTTAAATAGCTTTCTGAATACGTTAATATTTGTAACTGATTTGATTTGGTCAAATCGACAAGTGGGAAAATAGTCCTGTGGTAAATTTTCCAAACAAAACAAAGTGACTGCAGTGCAAAATGTAAGATTTTAGTGTGCTTTTAACCCATGACTAGGGGTGGGAAATGGTCCTTCAAAAACTCTGGGTCTTGCAAAATTTTAGTCAAATTTCACAGGTCTCGCAGTCTCGTTTTTTAGCGGTTAAAACTGTGCATTTAGCAGTCTTGATTTTTATACAAAGCTGTCTCGGAGTCTCGACTTTTTGCAAGGTTGAGGGTCTCGAGATCCTCATTTGTTTGTCTGTTTTTATAAATGACGTGTACTCGTCATTTGATATATTGAATTTCAATGAAGCAACTTTCAAATTTCTGGGAAAAAGTTAATCTTAACTTTTCCTAAATTGTCTGAATTCCACAAAAAGCTACAAAACCTACTGCAACATCTGTTTTGGCACCAGAAATTATAACAGTAATTTTGTTCTAGTATATTATCGCATAGTGTGTTATAATCGAACTTTCATTTCCACCCAGTTCGAAGAAGCTGGCTAAAAGGCTGTGTAAGCTCATTCTAGCTCTCAACTAAATCTGGGGCTTGAATTTTAAGAGTATGTCTTGCACTTGCACTCAAAACACTTGAAGGCTTGGTCTCGCAATCTAAAAGTCAAAATGTCTCGGGCTTGCAGAGAAACATGCTTGTCTCACTGTCTCACAAAGTCCAGTATTTACCATACACCACCCCTATGACTGTGGAAGTAAAAAAACTACGAACACTCTGAATTGTTTATTCATTCATTGATTTATTTGATTCTGGCAGGTCTATATTATGCACTGACCAATCAGTTCAGGGCATGCTAGCAAAACACAAACCTATTACTGTTGCTGTATTTCCAATGCCTCAATATATGGCTTTTTTTGCTACACAGGAAAATTCCATAAATTTTCTGGTTTCTCAGTTATCTGACCGAGTTTCACAGTTAAAGGTTCTATTTGGCACTCAGAATACATAATCAGTAAAATTTACAAACAATAATTATGTGGAAAATTACCATTTTAAATTTTTGAAACCAGTCTGAGCTATCAGGAAATGCAACAAAGGTTGCCCTGAGAACATTCTCACTGGAATGTTCATCTTGGTCTATTCAGAAGTCCTTTTTGAGGATGAATTTTTTTTTTTTAAATTAAAATTTAAAAAAGAAACATAAATTTTGGTGAAATTTTTGACATGTTTGATGGTCATCAATAATGAAGTACTTTCAAGTAAACTAGTGCAGGTACAGGTATTTCATTAATCATATTTAGCTTTAAGCCAAAGGTCAAAATGATAATAAATATTCTCTTTAAAGATTTCCATATTTTTTTTTCTGTCAATGATGAGAATTTGGTGATATATAAACTTCAAGTGGTGTATCCCTTAATTGACAAACAGTTTTTTTACTCCCATCACCTGTCTGCCTGTTAGTGAGTTTATATGCAGACCAAGATAACCATGGTAACAAGGACATCACCAAACAGAAGGTTTAATGAGCAGAACATTGGCTATGCACATGTGTTTGAACCTTAGCTCATTACATTTTGCCTTCTTCTGCAAAAACAACTACACGTAATGACCAAATTCTGCATTTTCTAGTGGGAGAACACACTGAACCATGCCAGCTGGGAATTAGCAATATTTCTTTTCAAAGCTGAATGCTGTCTTTTCATTTTAAGCTGAGGATAGGACTAACATCAATAGACACAGTGAATATACCACGTGTACTACAGATACATAAAATTTGTAAGTAGCGCATGAAATAGACTTCAATCAATGTTTATGTCCCCTGCATCTTTGTTGTGCTTGCACAAACTCTCATGTTCAGGAGATGTTGCAGCTTGATTGTGTTTGTTGATTGTAAAGTTGGTTAACTGATGACTGTCTGACAGGTGCATATTTGAGAAAGTGACAATGTTTAAGTTTGTTTTCCAAATCAAGTTTGCATTCTTTACTCAATGATCTCCAACCTTTTTTTTACTTTTAATTCCTCCGATTTATGATTGCAGTTGTATTGTGCTGAAGTTCGTCCTAACCTGGCTTAAATTTTGGTTACCGTACCTATAAGTATTATATTCTCAAATACATAAACATAAAATGATTTATGATGACCATATGCATAATGAATGATAATTTGCAAATACAAGGAAAACTGGTTCATCACATGATATACATGCATGTCACAATGGATAGCATCCACGATGTCACTTAAGACTCACAGTGAATTCATAACCATTTTCAACTGGTAAAATTGGGTTACTCTAATGTCATTTAATCAGTTGTCATTCAGACAAAGGTTTCTTTTGTTTTGCATTCAACAAAAAGATGCCGCTAGGAAAAGTGCTTTTTTTGCATACGTTATTTCCCGAAAACGAAGAGCTACCTGGCAAAAAAAACTACAGAGCAATGTTTCTCAGGTAACGAAGCCCATGTGCCAAAATTCGGCTATTTTTGAGCACTTTCAAAAATAGCTGAAAAATCTAGGGGATGTTCTTGCCCGCAGCCTTTCAATTGCGGTTTCAAATGGTCTTTAATTCTTGTTAAGTGTATTCAGAAGCAAACATAATTTTATTAAAAAGATTTTAACAAAAGTTAATCATCGTAATACTTTCATTTGCTCTATCCCTGTGACTTACTTGAATCTACGATTGCTCACATTACTTTAATTGACTCCAAGTCTACATTAGCTTGATTGTGTGCTGTGCAATAATATGCTGGTTGTTCATGACCTGCACATCTATATGTGAAGTCAATAACAAAATTTCGAGCTAATTTTCAAATTAGTTTGGGCCTAATGTGATGTAACAATCATGTACTTTTGTTACTGCAGAAACTTACAGATCAACTAAGACAAGAAAAGGAAGAACTCCACAACCAACTTTCAGAGCAATCAAGTGACCTTGGTAGCAGTTCTGCTTTAGCCAAGGAAAAAGATGAAACCATTGCACAGTTAAAACAAGAAATAGCTCAGCTTCAAGGTCGTATTGAAACATTAACAAGAAGTGAGGACGATACAAAGAAAAAAAAGGATGAAGTAATGGCATCATCGCAGGAAGCTGCTAAAGATTACGAGAACAAGATAAAGGAACTGGAGGCTGACAACAAGGATAAGGGCCGACAGTTGGAAGAAACATCAGAAAATTTGAACCGGTCATTGACATCTTTGCGTGATCAAGAAAAGGCGACCAGTAGCCTGCGGGAAGAGAATGAATTACTGAAAAGTTGGGTTTCTTTACTTGAGAAAGAGGTGGCAAGCAGTAAGGAAGAAGTCACAAAAGCACAGAAGGAAAATTCTAAACTCCAGACCGACCTGAGCAATGCTGAAACCCGCAGTACTCATCTGAACAGCACTACTCAGAGGCTCCAGAAAGAGGTCACAAAACTGATCGAGGAAAACAAATCGCTAGAAAAAAAAGGTTCAGAAATTGAGCAAAAAGTCACTCAAGAAGTCCAGAGAAAACTGCAGAATAGAATCCGTGAACTGGAGGAAAAAGTGATTAAAGTCAATGAGGAAAAGAAAAAAATCAAGGCAGATTATGATGAAGCTGTTAAAGCTTTAGAAGCTGTTGACAAAGTGGTAAATATTTTGATATGCAGTAACAAAATCTGAACAATATTACTGTAAAATGTAAGTCCCCACCTCCCAAAAATATACACTCCCAAATCATAACCAAAAAATACTTTACAAAAATAAGCATAAGCTCCCCCCAAGCCTTGAGTTTTATGTTGAGTCATTGGGCGTATATTTCTAGAATTACCATAATGATTCGATTTAGCACGCTGGGTACTTATTTACTTTTGGTACCTCAAGGGTGGGTATTTATTTGGGACAGGACACTTATTTCTTCTTTGAGAAACAACTGAATGTTCCAAACAAAACTTGAAAGAAGCAATCATTTGTTTGAAGGAATTATGCACTCACATGGACTTAACGCCCAAGTCGCTAGTGAAGGGAAGGTGCCTAAGAAGCCCGGGGGCTGCAACCGCAGTCACATCCCCAAGGCGCTAGAACACCTGACTGGCCTTCCCAACCCGCAACCAAGCCACAAGCCCCCTGTGCCAGGCCCACTACAGGTACCCGTCACACTCAAGCCAGATGGCTCAGTGGAAAGAAAAAAGGAAAAAAAAAAAAAATAAAACAACAACAGAAAAAACTGCTGAAAAGAGAGGGGGGGGAGGGGGCGATAGGGAGGGAATGCCGAGAACCGCTAAACTATTACAACAATTCAACCCACAATGCCATGCTAACAGAGCAATGAACACACTGCAAGCACATGGGACGACAACGCACATACTAACCAAGAATACCGCTGGACAATGTCTGCCCCAGGGCTCCCACGACCACATGACTGCTGCAAACGCTACAGAACACACCAAACGCATAAACAAATGCTAACAGACTGCCAAGACACTAACAAATGTGTACAAAAAACGCTACTGACCAGACTAGCTCCTGGTCATAAACTATGTAAAATTTCATTGAACTAATACATATCAAATGCTACAGAATGCACCAAATGCTAAACAAACACTAACAGACGGCCAAGACACTAACAACCGCCTACAAAAACGGTACTGACAAGACTAGCTCCTAGTCGTTAACTATTTTAAATTTCATTTAACTATATTAACACTTGAGAAACTCAGACTAAGACCACTGTTTTTGTAACGCTGCATTAAGTATGTGAGCAATATTTATTAAGGAAGATGAACCAGATGAACCTCCGTTGATCAATACGCACTCTGACAGTGCTGTAATATTATAATATTAGTGGAGGGGTGCTTATTAGAATGGGGGCTCTTATTGGACTAGGGGCGCTTATTAGAAAAAACACATTCAAAGGGGGGTGCTTATTGGAAGGAGAGCACTAAATTGAATCATTACGGTAGCTCTCAAAGATCATGTAAGTACTAACTTCATCTAGTAATATAATATATACTATAACCCCAACATTTATTATCAGAATTTTGTGGCACTCAGACTCTTTTAATTCATAGTGAGTTTAATGAGTGTCGTACAGGGGGATCTCTGGCACAGTTCATGAACGGAAAAACTAGAGGACCATGGATCATGGATATAAAAATTTTGTTTTCCCGAATCACAAAGTTAAGCAAGTCAGACACTAGAAGCAGTGTATGAAGAAATTAAAATCGTGAATGGCTCCATATTGCAAATCGCATACCTAAGTCACTCTCGAAAGATGACTCTAACCGTTTGGAGGCCAGTTGTGTCTGAAAATCAGGTAGAATAGAGTGGTAAAATCACGAATATCAGTTAATAATTCAGGTTCTTTATGAGTCACCCAAACCTTCAGGTCATGAGTCGCAAAGAATAATTTCCTAAATTCACGTTCACGGAAAATAAAATCAGCTAACCACGCATCATGAGAATACCCCTGTAAGACACTCTTTAATGGTACATATTATTATTATGTAATGTTTTTTTTTAACCATATCCTGGTTGAACTTAACACTGTTCCAAAACACAAAAGGATGTCTATTTCTGGATCTGCCAGACTAAAACATTAATTTTTGATCATTTGGTAAGTGATGTGCTACTATCTAGACCACAATGTTAACAAGGTTACACGTATAGCTAAGGTGAATATCAGCTAATTGCATTTTTTCAGCTGGTAATTTTGCCATGTTTTGAAAGCACTGGCAATTGATTAAACTGACTAGTCATACAAAATTGTTCAAAGAAACTGGTGTAATTTCTTTTTTTTTTTACCCACAGTACAGTGTCAGAGAGAATACTCTTGAAAAATACAAGGCAGACTATGAAGAAGCTACTGATAAGATCAAAGAAAGTAAGGCTGACTGCAGTAGTAGCAAACTATTACTTTGCAGTGTTGTCAATATGTTACATGTACATGTAATCAGTAACCATGTGTTCACCCTTGGTAATGAATTCCTATTGCTCTTTATAATATAGGTAGGACCCTGCACATGCTCTGATTGGTCAAAAACCCATGTTTTATCAGAGTATAAAACATAGAAAAAGCGTGTTTCATTGTTTTGCACATGTAAAATCCATATCAGAAAGCAACTGAAGAAGCCAAAGTTGTTAATTACACTGTAATAAAACTCTCCAGACATTTGAGGACACTTGAGAAATGTAGAAAACATTTGCCTGCAGCTCGTATTTTCTACATTTCCCTCATTTTCTCAAATGCCCGTTGTGTTTTATCACAGTGTAATACACGGCTCAGGTTTCTTTATTTATTAAATAATCCGACCTTTTCCCAAATATTAAAAATAGGTACCCAATGGGTACATGTGTGGGATACCTCATTTGCATTATTGAACACGAGCTGATGACAATAGTGTGGGATACCACAGGAATCCCAAACAAAAACCCAGTCATCTGAAAATGAATAGGAGACTCATTTGATGAAACTTAAATGCAGTTAAAAGCTCACACATACTCTTTGCCCCTGGATCAGTAGCATTGCTCAGTATGAGCTATTTGAGCTGATCTGTAAATCAAAGTTAAATAATTGTATTGTTGTCTTTTTGCATTGATCAGATGAAAAAGAGATTGATAGACTGAAGAGTGACCTTTCAAAGAATAAAGAGAAGTTAACAAGAGCTCTGGAGTACAAAGCTGACCGAGAAGAACTCAAAGATCACCTTAGGAAAAGCAAAGAGGCAATTGCTTTGCAGCGAGAGGAAACAGAACAAGTCAGGAAGGATTTGGACGAGGAGCGGCATGGCTTAAAAATGGCACAGTGAGTACGGATCGCATGTGTTGCTGAACAATTAACTTACAGCCATTCTAGAGACTTTTTCTTGAAACAAAAATAATTATTGTTATCAATTTTCTTGTCATTGATATATATCATCTTCATTTCTGTTTGGGAATTTTTTACCAACAGATGTAATTAGCATTTACTTGTAATGTGGCAGGTTTATGTTTTGTGTGTGTGTTTTATGTCACTGCATGGTATTTCTTGTGCAAAATTGTCACCTGCATACATGCAAAGTATTATGTACCATTGTTTGTCAAAGTGACTGGTAAGGCTTTGTACATTTTCATGAATTGCAGCAGACCTTACAATTAGCAACTGAAGATAATTTATTTGAAACTGTATCTAATGATCTGTTAATACATAATATTATTTTTATGTTACTTATAATTCATTGTTTTTTTGTTCATGTTTTTATCAGAGCGAGAGCTCAGGAGAGAGGAAGGAAGATTCAGGTGTTAAACCTGGAACTCACAGAAGTCAAGGACACCTTACAGGTTTGTTTACTTCTTAATTGATCTAACTTATACTAATTAAGCTTTGCACACCATGGGTGGAGAAAGTACATTGTATTGCAAAGTCCATTCTAGAAACACACTTTCTTGGCTTGGAACTGTCAATTTTAAAAATTGCTGTGAATAACTGAATAATATGATATTTTTAAGTTCATTGTGATTGGGTGTTAACAGTACTTATTATTGCTTATGCATGCGCTCCCATCTGTATTGTATCAGATATTTTATTTAAAAAGGAATTTATCTGCCCATCAAAAGCAAACTACTTTGGAATTACTGTGAACCCTGTAGGCAAGAACAATCAAGTTGCCTTCAATTGAAAACTTGTTGACCTACCTGCTATTACTATCTATTGAGTTAAAGAGAGAGGTTGTAAATAGGCAGGTGCTGATAACAGTGGTACATCAGACTTAACAATGTTAAGTATAAAGTGAATGCATGAGCTGTTCAGCCTGATACAATCGTAAACAATTATAGCATGGTGGCAAATTAATTTGATATCAGGGGCTAGGGAGATGTTTAACTTCAAGTCTTATCATACCTTGATTTGAACACCTTATGTGATTGGCCCCAAAGATGAACATGAATTAAATTTTGTTTAATATAAGGAGTGTTGGCATCTTATGGAAAATTGTTTGATTTTCTAAAGAAATAGTGAGAAATGCTTATCTACATGTATAAAGATGTTGGAACATGGTGTGTTTGTCATTGTGATTTTTCATAGATTGCCAGAAATGTTATTGATGAAAAAGAAAACAACATGAAAAGTTTAAGAGAAAGTTTAGCAGCTGAGAAAGAACAGAAAGCAAAATTGGAAAAGGTGAGACATTTGGTGGATTTGTTATGGACATGTGTGGTGAAACTAAAAATTAAAATTGTCACAGCTTCCAGAAACAAAACGCAGATTTCCTTAGTCTTAATTGATATGCAACATCTATATAAATGCAAAATATCAGAAAAATTGAGTTTCCAGAAAATTTGTAGATTTTCACCAGTTCACGTTTATTTATTGTTTGTTGTTACATGTAAAAATGAGGTCAAAATCAGATATTAGCAACTTGAACCTACATGGCTTATGACCCTTTTTATGGTTAAAATATTTAATTTGATTGACGAAAACAATTAATTTGGAGGTTCTCATTTTCTCTCAACAGGAACTGGAAATCATTCCGCATCTAGAGAAAAAACTACAATACACAGAAGAAGAAAAACATAGATTAGAATGTAGACTGAAAAATACAGAACTTGAGCTGAAAGAAACTCAAAACAGTCTTGAACAATCAATCAGCAAAAGAAAAGTGAGCTGATCTTACTCCTTTCAGATTGTTTGTTTCCTAGTACTGAGACTGAAATGATCAGTTAAACCTTTTTATTATTAAATAAATAGAAGTCTACATGTAGTTTTAGTAATCTAAAATCAGATTGATAATGATGATGATAATGACAACAATGATAATGATGGCGATGTTGATGGTGATAATGCTGACGATGACAACATTTTTCATGATAGTCAGTGGTGGTGTTAGTCATAAAGATGATGATCATGACACAGTGAAACCTCTATTGAGCGGACCCCCAATTAAGCGGACACCCTCTATTAAGGGGACACTTAGCCTGGTCCCGAAATTGACCTGTTATATTTCCCTTTATAACGAACCCCTATTCAGCGGACACCTCTATTAAAGGGGCAGTCTCACCAAGATTTAGTGCTTCTTGAAAATCCAATGAAGGTGTCGGTATTAATTGGATATCCACTAGTAGTTGCCTAATCTAGCTAAAATGTACCGTACTAGTCACGAAAGTTGTTTACGACTGTTATGGCTACGGACGAGTAGGAAAGAAGTGGTCTAAAACTTGAAAACGTCGGGCCGACGTTTTCAAGTTTGACAATGTTGCCTGGAGGAAAAGCACTAAAAATCATTGACCTCTTAGAGATTTCATTTTATGCCTTTTTGTCTTTTAAAGGTTATTTTGTTGATCAGTGAGTGCACCTTTATAATTCTAGCATAGTTTGCACAAAAACTTAGGAGACCTCTCGTGGTACTGCCCCTTTAAGCGGATGCGGACACTAAAATAAACTGTATTTGGCTAATTTCTATTGTGACAATCAATCAACAATGTGGCATTGGATTACGTCCTTGAAATAGTCGATTAAACGTACCCGTGTTGTCGTTGCTGTATGAAAAGGGCATTATTACAAACAAATTAAAGTTGCTAATGAAAGCTGATGAACTTGAACTCTGGATAGCTTCGTTAACAACCTGGAACTTTATTACAGTACAGAGGAAGCGTTGAATGTTAATTGTTAACAAACATCGCGCAATTGTTGTAAACCTTTATTAAGCGGACACCCTCTAGTAAGCGGACACTTGGGAAGGTCCCGAGGGTGTCCGCTTAATAGAGGTTTCACTGTAGTATATTAGTTGTAGATGATGGTGATGATGACAATGATGGTGACGTTGATGACAATGAAGGCTGTTACTTCACTTCTTCCTCAAATTCGCAAAAATCTTAAGTCAAGTCTTTGCATTTTATGTCTTGCAGGAGATGGATCAGAATGTGGACAATTTAGAAAGAGATAAAAAGCATCTGGACAATGAGCTAGAAGAGAAACGAGTTGAAATAACAAATTTGAAAGGGTGTATAAAAGAACAAGATCAAGAAATTGATAATAAATTGATGGAAATTGTACAGATGGCAGACTCAATGGATGATCTGAGAGACCAGCTTGAGGATGTGTTGACATCTTACCACAATGATCGGGAATGGTGGAAACAAAGAGCTGACAAGGTGTTGGGGTTAGTGTCTAACCCATCAGTATAAAATAAATGGCGGTGGCCAACTTTTGGGTGGGAGTAGAGTGGTTGACTCAACAATTATCTGCGTGGAGTTGTCCCGTTTTTCCTTACCCAGACCAAAAGCTTCTTGTTGGCACTTGTTTAGAATTCAAGGCATTTTTTCTGTTTGACAAGAATGACCCCTAAATAAGAATCAAGCTAACAACACTTGTATCAGGATAAAGGAAGAAGTAGTGCAAAGAAACGTGTGACCCAAATAGCTAGGCTGTCCACAGACACTCTATTTTGTCTTGAGTTCGTCGAGATCACAAGCAAAATGTTAACCCGGTGCATGGGATATGATCGAACCAAAACGCAAGGGAGTGAGGTTGGGCCGCTCTTGCATTCTCCGCTCGCATCGCGTAAGCGCTCGAAGAAAAATAACTGGTAGCAAAAATTCACGTCTGTGGACAGACTACAAATAGTGAGCAAATTGTAGAAGTTAAAAAAAATTGTTGAATAAAATTACAAGTCTGATCAAAACGTTTTTACAACTTTTCTCACAGAAGGCGACCTAAAAGTGCCCCGCCCAGGAGGAGACCAGGCAATGAATTTCCAAATGGTGGAATGAGTTTATCATCCAGACGTCTTATGAACAGAATGGGTGCGCCGCGTCTAAACCAGAGTTACATTAACAGCAGGCGTAAGGTATATTGACAAAGCTGATATATTGGCAAATTCTTTTGCTTTTCTTACCACTGAACATTTTCATGAAGGCAAAGTAACCCCTTTGGAAAGGACTTGAAAGGCGCTATAGTGAGTGTCAACATCACACACAACATAGTCGACGAAAAACCGGTGAAGATTGAAAGTGTGTAAACAAAAACATCACCTTTACGGGTCGGGTTGTTTCAAATTTCGACACTATGCAAATTCAAGATGTCACGTTGTTTATTTGTTGTGAGTACAGTATGTTGCCGTATTTTCCGCGCACCCCTTTTTCTAGACACTTCGACTTATAGATTCTGTACAACGCAAGGATATTAGAAAAGATAGTCCTAGTTCATTTCACAGGTAATCCTGGATAATGCAAAGATGTGTATGTAAAATAAATTAAAGAACCTTACCTCAAGGTTTAAGGCTGGTTTTCACTAGAGCATAAGCACAAGCACAAGCATAAGCATAAGCACAAGTGAAGACAGCCGCGACACAAACATAAGCATATTAAGCAGAAACATGAGAAGAACAAACCCACTTATTTGTCTTGTGCAGTTTTCACCAGTAACGCGCTCGACATAAGCATAAGCATAAGCATAAGCACAAGAGAAACAGAACTGTTTGTTTTTCTTGTGCTTATGCTTATGCTTATGTCGAGCGCGTTGCTAGTGAAAACTGCACGAGACAAATAAGTGGGTTCGTTCTTCTTATGTTTCTGCTTATGCTTATGTTTATGTCGCGGCTGTTTTCACTTGTGCTTATGCTTATGCTTGTGTTTGTGCTTATGCTCTAGTGAAAACCAGCTTTTAATTCAGCTGAAATTACTTATGAGCAATAGAGCACTTTTTCCATGTTTACTCTCTTCATCTAAACACGAGTGGGGTTTGGAGAATTAAAAACAGTTATGCAAACCCGAGATGCAGTCGAGGGTTTGCAATTCTCCCAACCCCCCAAAGTGTTTAGATGAGGCTATGTTAATGTAAACACGGAAAAAGCACTTTCTTGCTTTTATAAAATATTTCTCAAAAATACGCACGAATCTAAAACATCACAACTTGTTAGTTCCGTGTTTACATACTCTTATCTAAACACACCTATCGACAAATGAGAACGCGGGTAGTATCTCAGTTATTTTTACAAACGATGGTAGGTTACACGACAGAGGCCTGAAGAGCAAACTCCTAAAGTCACAACAAAAGAAAATGAGGATGTGGCTGATGGCAGCCCAGGACACACGTCAGCTCCAGAGACTTCACCCAGACCCCCAAGTACTCCTCCACCCGGCAAGCCAAGACCCAAGCGTCCCGCCTCTTCATATGGCATCAGATCACACTGGTCGCATGACGATGGAATGTTAGGGATGGGATACTATAGTGACATGGGCCCTGTCATGGAGGAGACTGGGTTAAATGGTTATGATGCTGATGACGAAATCTTCTCTTCATGTGCTGTCCACAAAGGTGACAAGGTCATGATACAAAGCAAAATTAGTGGTAAGTTACAACTTAGGTTTCTGTCAAGATACCACAAAGAATGCACGCATGAAGGACAAGTCCTTTAGTTTGGATTGCCCTTGTTTGTGAAACGAAGTGTCAAGGAGACAGAATTTACAGGACCCTGCGACATTAGTGCCAATTGTTCAGTCTGGTTTGATTTGAAAAGGCTTGACCCCTTAAATTGTGACTAACTTTCTGTGTGTGCTGATTGTGGGACAAGATGTGCGACCAAATGTGACCATCATGATGTAATCAGCTAAATAATATGGGGTGTATTGACCATGCGTGAGGTCAATATGGCTGGATATTGAACAAGTTCTTATTTCGCGTATTTATGGACTGAGACGGAGTCGAGGTCCATAAACTCGCAGAAACGAACGAGGCCAATATCCAGCCATCTTGACTGGACAAGCTTGGTCAATAAAGGATTTATGAAAATGTTTCTTGCGGGACACAGCGGGTAGTCCTAAGCGAGCAAGATAGCGCTATCTTGCCCGCTCACGGAGCTTGCGGTATAATAAAAAGTGTTCTTTAGTGGGGAAAAAAAAGCAAAACAAAAGATTTGTCTTGATATTTTGATATTGACTTTTGAATCGCTTAATGCGTAGTCCTGATAGGAGTAGTTGCACTCAAAGATAATTTACCAAAAAATAATTTGAAATAAATGCTGTCTTGGTAATTTTATTTCCCAGGAGAAGAAAAGATGAATATTACCGGATTAGTGAAGTATGTTGGTAAACTTGGCAGTGGAGGTGGTGGCAGCATGTTTGTGGGACTCAAACTTGATCAACCAGGTATTTAAAAAAAAATACTGGGAAAAAATTAATCCTTTTTTACCCGTTTAACAGTAAAGCTCGCTATGCTCCACAGTATAAAGATCAACAGTTTTATCCTAACTTAAGGTCATTCCACGGAAATAGAACCTGCACTGAGATTTTTGTCAAACTTTGCCTATTGACTGTTTATATTGTAGGAACTTAAATTTGGAAATAAAAATGAGGGGTCCCCATGTTCGTTTAGGAGCAACAGCACCTTGTTTATGCCATATAAATCCTTATAATAGCACCATGATTATAGTCACGATTGCTTGCTAAATTCACGTTTCGGACGATTGTTTCTTGCTCAACACTGAGAACTGGCCCATATTTATTTTACATAGATAAATTTATTACTCAATTCAGCACAACAGAAAAAAAACATAGGCACGCAAGGCGTGCAAGAGTTATTTTTTGTGTGAAGTGTCGGAGATAGGAGCATTCATGGTACAGTAATGATTTGGTTAATTTGACATTTTTTTTTGGTTGCGATGTTACATCGGTCATGGTAAGATAGTTAACTGGTAAGCCATAAAATGTTTGACTAAACAAACTACAGTAATCTGACATGTCTCCAGATTAATGCAGATACTATCTTATTTTCTAACAGGCAATTTGATTCATTCTTTGATACAACCCGGTGTGACACGTGCACATGCATAACTCCCTACCTCACCGATCACATAACCCTTCCAACCCCGAAGAGGAATTTTTGCTCAAAAATACTCAAGTTAATTTAGGGACTTTTTCGCATTTTACACGAGCCGTAAGTTTACCTGTTCACACAACACAACACAACACAACTTCACCGAAAATAGAAAGAAAGAGAAAAAAACCTCTGACACGTTGAAAGTCTGATTTAATAAAATTGCACTTTAACTTGGTGCCACGCAGTCTTCAAAGAACATTTGAACAGTTTTCATACTTTTTACCTTAAAAAAAAATATCGGACTGAAATGAATGTCATCAAATAAAACTATTAAACTACTACTGCAGAGACGTAAAAACGCTTCAGAAATGAAAGCTTTTTTTGTTTNTTAATTTAGGGACTTTTTCGCATTTTATACGAGACGTAAGTTTACCTTTTCACACAACACAACACAACACGACTTCACCGAAAATAGAAAGAAAGAGAAAAAAACCTCTGACACGTTGAAAGTCTGATTTAATTAAATTGCACTTCAACTTGGTGCCGCGCAGTCTTCAAAGAACATTTGAACAGTTTTCATACTTTTTACCTTAAAAATATCGGACTGAAATGAATGTCATCAAATAAAACTGTTAAACTGCTAATGCAGAGACGTAAAATCCGTCCAGAAATGAAAGCGTTTTTGTTTAATATCCTGGAAACAATAGCCGATAACTTGTCAGCTCTAAGTGAATTTACTCCCATATAAAAAACAAAGTGTTAAGTTACCATTTGTTACTAAAGATAGCAAACATCTCGTGGGAAAGAATGGTGACGATTCGTCCGCTCTAATTGAATTTACTCCCTTGTGAAAAACAAGAGTGTCACATTACACTTTGTAACTAAAAAACAAAAATATCTTGTTATATTTGCATGCAACAAGAACAAACCAATCGTTACCCGCACTTACTATTGTAAACATTAGAACTGTTTCAAATCGAAAGTCTCGTCCCCTCTAAAACATGTCCTAGGAACTACAAGCGACGATTCGTGACCTCTAATTGAATTTATTCCTTGTGAAAAACA